CACGCCTCACAAAGGACCTTCCATGTTTCACTTCAACCAGCGAGAGAAGCAACTCATCACAGAGCACACATCCTTGATGCAGCGTGGCTCCGTTCTCTAGGGGAGTAGTTTTCTTGTTGAAATCTATCTCTATTACGGCTGAATCGCACTGGGGACAGCGGTTACTAGTGGTGGCGATGCGGTGAGCACCTTCCGGAAGCAAAACGATGCAGCTACACAAGTTGCAGTTGAGTTTCCACTTCGGGAAGCTGACCGGGTCCAAGACAAGTGTGCCTTCGCACTCAGGGCAAGCGCAGACTCCTTGGTTTCTCAGAGAGTGTTGGCATGTGGGATGAGGACAGAGAGAACACGGCATGCCCGAACCGGTTTTGGTTTTCGCAGAAGTATTAGACGTCTTAGCGGCTCCAAAGAGCGTGTCTATGCCTTCGAATGGAGGAGAATTGTAGCAGTATGGACATAATGGAAATGACTTCCCCTCAGGTCCTGGAACTGAATAGATCACGAGCTCAAAATTGTCTAAAGGACATGTGAGTTCCTTGTACAGCTGTAAGAAAATCAGTTGATAAAGAATTCAGATTTATGTCTAATAATGATAAATCCAAAATCTAGAGTTTCGCTAAGGTTTCAGCTTAAGAGAGTTTAGGTGATGAAAGGGTTTTACCTTTACTGTGCCCTTTTGAGGAAGGTAATAAACTTCTTCACAAGTGCCGCAGAAGAGACGTGGTGGGACTGCTGTGATGTGTTTCATGTATCGCAAGCATTTTCCACACTTACTTAAAGCGCGGCCAGAATCAGCCAGAGGAGAGAACTGTGATTCAAAGAGGGCATCCATGTGTTCGATCTGGAAGAATATAAGAAAAATATTAAGTACGACCAGAATTATATTGAAGATTCATCCTACTAATGCCTTCAAAGACAACATAACATAAGCCATGTTTTCCCAACCTGTTGAACAAAATAACTGAATTTACGCCGGAATTGTTCAATCACATGTTGCACAACGTGTGAATGATCAGCTTGGCCCTTGGCAACAAGAGTGATTTGTTGCTCGATAAAGCTCCGGATGTCTGGTAGGCAAAGGTCTGGATCAATACATTGATAGCCTCTTATCAGCGTGATTCCTAATGCAGTTGGAACCAGTTTCCTCCCGGATTGGACCTGCAAGAGAGCATAAACACCAAACAAGAGAATTGAAATTTCTCCAAAGACAAAAATGGATCCTCCTGAAATGAGTAACATCTTAATCCTGAAGAAAACCGCACCTGAACATAATTACGTTCACCAATGTTGTTTATATGCACAGGTATTGATGCATCTGTGCCTATACCATGCTTCTCCATCAAAGATATCAGCTCACTCTCAGTAAGGAAGTCCGGAGGAGCAGTTTTCCCCTGTAGAGTTTAGAACATTCAAAGGACAAATAGCAAGAAGAAATTAATACTGGAAACATAAAAGCGATTTGTGTGGTACAAGGCAATGTGAGCAGCAACAGAAACTGGAAAAGAATGTTACCTCGTATAGCTCCACTCCTGACACTTCGATCTTCTCACCTTTGAGAAAAGACGGAAGTTTTTTCTCATCTACAGCAGACCATGGCATTATAGCTGTAAACCCCTTTTCTGTTACACGCTGCCCTGTACAATGGAAAGTTTCTCCACCAATTGACAATTCCACTTTGGTCCTACAATATCCATCCAAGAGATTACCACACATAAGATGCGCAAGAATAAGCTTTAACTGGCATCGATCAAGCTTCAAATAAACTTTATTTACCTAATGTATTTGCAGTTAGGTGACACTGTGCCAATAAAATGTTGACAGACATACTGATAGAGTCGCCAAGCATCTCCTCCGACCATGACCTCGTTTGCTGCTCGCATTGGAGTGATAGGAGGATGGTCTCCAGCATCGGTTCCTGACTTTGGCTTACTAAAGCCGTCTGAGAGCAGTCTCTGTACGTAATCACCCCATACTGGATTACTGACTTGTGCTCTGAGTGTATCTGTGAAGTCGAATGAAGAAGGATAGGCTGTGCTTTCTGTACGCGGATAGCTAGC